ACCCCCACCTTCCCTCCCTACCAGAGAAATGATTGGGTTATAACAGTATATTTACATTTTTAGTAATAAATAATACCTCAGACTAAAGTTAGGATAATATAATTGACATTGTTGGATTCCTTGCAAGACCAGGAATATTTTGAATATACACTTCATATATTTTGCACAAAAGATAACATATTTGCTCTGAGTAAACAAAATACTTGCATTAGATCTAAAATTTGTATGTCTAATGCAAAATCTATAATGCCTTTATTCAAAATGATCATCAAATTGTAAGAATTCCAGCAATGTAAATTATATTCTGGCCGGATAATTTGTATGAATTTTATGAGCTAAATAAAAAAATTATACTTCACCCCGCGTAAAGGGGTACACGCACCGCGGAATGTGAGCATTCCGGTTTCGGCAGGGTACCGCGTAAAAATGGAAACGCGGAATGTGGGACCGCGTAAAGCGAGGGTTGACTGTATATATATATATATACAGTGGGGTATGCTATAACGAATCTAATTGGTTCTAGAACCTTGTTCATTATAGCCTTCGTTCGTTATAGGATTAATCCTTTCCAGGCCCCCAAATACAACCACTTAACACTGAAAAATATAATATAAAATTGTAAAAAAGTGCATAAATATGCATCTAAACCCCTGAAATAAAGAATATCATTAATACTTGTATAATAAAAATACAAAAAATAAGTAAAAAAAAATAAATAAATAAAATTTTTTTAAATAGTGTTCGTTGTAGGAGTTTCGTTCGTTATAGCATTCTCAATTTTATAGGTAAAAAAAAAAAAAAAAATATATATATATATATATATATATATATATATATATATATATATATATATATATATATATATATATATATATATTTTTTTTTTTTTTTTTAACGGTTTATTGAAAGAGCTTGGCAGCCAGAAGGCTGAAAATGTACAGTTACATATTTGGGGAATGGGTTACGAATTACAAATAATATACAAGTAACATAAGTGACACAAATAAGACATATAATAGCTTAGATGGGGATCAGCTCAAACTACAGTTCATTTCAACACAGTGATAGTGTAAGGAGCAGTGTTTACTGGGAGTGAATACACTGATTTATTACATGTTATTGATAATTTTTACAATGGTTGGGACTGGGCTGTTCTTATAGCGATCAGTTCGTGCACGTATGGGCTGGATGCGGTTGTGGTGTCGAACAGCAATTCTCGGACAGGGGATCTCAGGTGGTAGTAGGGGCCGGTGTCGGGGATGGTGTAGAAGCTTCTTACCAAATTTGCAGATGAGGCCGTGGTGATGGTCAGTGAGAGTCGAAAGGGTCAGTGTGTTGAGCGCTTCTTGATATGTGGAGTAGGAAGGGGAGAGAATAATCTTGCATGCCCTCTTTTGCACTTTTTCTAGGTGTTTACGTTGTGTGGCATTTAGGGAGGAAGACCAGGTGGGGGAGGCATAGGTGAGCTTGGGAAGTATGAATGTTGTGTATACACTGAGGAGCTCGTGTGCAGGAACTCCGAGGGACTTGAGTCGGCGGAGCAGGTGGAGACGGAAACTGGAGGATTTGACAACTTCACTGACGTGTGGTTTCCAATTTAGTTTGTTGTCTATGGTGACGCCGAGGAGCTTCGTGGAATCTACAACCTGGAGTGTGTTCGGACCTAGGGTAATGGAAGGAGGTGGGACAATGTCGGAGGAGAGGTTGATGTGTGTGTAGACACAAAACACATACAAATAAATAATATAGGAAAAATCCTCTCACAAATAATGAGAAACAAATTTCTAAAAAATGTGACAGTCTATCCTCAAGTCTACTCCGTGCTATGTTATTAATAAAGCACGGAGTAGACTGAGGGTAGACTCAACATTTTTACTACTACACTTATTTCTGATTATTTGTAAGAGGACTTTTCCTTTATTATTTATTTGTATGTGTTTTTTGTTTGTGTCTACACACACACACACACATATACAATACAGGTAAAAGAAATAATTGTCCTATATGAGCGGATTTGGCGATTCGCTGCCATTTTGAGAACCTAACCCCCGCAAATTTGAAGGGCATGCTGTACTTGTGAAAAAGACAAAATACGACTGTTCTTTAAATACTATACAGTAAATCCCCAATATAGCGGACTAATTGCAGGGAAGTCTGGTTCATTTTAGCTGAAAGTCCATTATATCCAATAACAGACTTGGTCTGTTATATACCAACAATCCAACATAGTCCAAAGTGACCACGTGAACTAACATTTATCAACATCACCAACTCACCATCACCACCACCACCACCAACACTCACCACCAACACTCACCACCACCAACAACACTCACCATTACACCTCCCACCAATTACAATTAACTAGTACCGTATTTGTTATTAATGAGTAGAGCTGCTAGAGCAACCTTGGTTATTCTGCTAGTTTGCAAACCACCCTGTCTTCCCATTTTGAACATGTTCTCGTCCTGTGAACACCAGTTGGTGATGGTGAGTGTTGGTGCTGATTATGGTGATTGTTGGTAATGATGGGTGAGTTTTAGTGGTGGTGAATGTTGTGGAGGTAGTAGTGAATGGTGGTGGTGATGAGTATTGATTGTTAGAGGTACTAATGAGTGTTAGTCACCACCATCACCATCTGGTATTTACAGGATGAGAACATGTTCAAACTGGGAAGACAGGGTGGAGGTTTGCAGACTAGCAGAATAAACGAAGTCGCTCTACACGTTTGTAATATGTCGGTACTTGTTAAGCTGTAAGGGGGGGGCGGGAGGTTGCATAATAATGACTGCTGCACTGCCAGGTACAAGTGAACAGGTGACTTGTGTGTATTATGGATTTTTTCCTTTTTTTTTTTTTTCTAGTGACAAATAACTGGTCACAAATATTCACTATAATACTATATGCAGACATCAGACACACAGTATAAAGAGCGAGCGTGTCACTCAAGTTGGATGCTACCAGGAGGAGGGCACCGATTGGCTGCGAGCATACATGGGTACGTCGCTCTCATTTGTGGAGTCTGCAAACAAGCATGACCAATGTCAGCGAGTCCCAAGTGTTCTGCCTTGTGTTGTGAATTTTCAAGTAAAACCAAAGCAGGGGTCCTAAAACTAATCGGCATTATGCATGATTGGGCTAAATGGGGGTATTACTACAATTATTTGTGATAATTTCCATACAATTGGTCCGTTATTTTTTACTTTAACGAACCCGAATTCATAATATAAGAAACTAGTCCAAATGGATCAATGTCCATAATATGTGGGGTTTTTTACTATACAAGGGCCCCCCAAATTCGAGGGGGTTAAGTTCTCAAAATGGCCGGGAACTGACAAATCCGTTAATAACATTTGCTGATCGAGGGGGTAGATTTTTACTTGTGTACAAAGAAATGTATATTCCCTTTGTGTCTGCCCTTAGGACAATTATTTCTTTAACCTGTATTGCATATACAATAATAATAATAATAATTAACGGTTTATTGAAAAAGTTCTGCAGCCCGAAGGCTGAAAATATACATTGGACATAAATGACTTATTACATACATTGGTGGTTTAACAAGAGCCTTCATTAGAGAAAGGTAAAGGAACATACAGATTAATGTAGGTGTTGAACAGCAAACACATAGTGTAGTAACTCTCTCCCAGATATTGTTAGGAGGGACCTCACATGGTGTAGTAGTTCCCTCAGATGGTGTTATGAGGGGTCTCACGTGGTGTAGTAATTCCCTCACAGATGGTGTTATGAGGGGCCTCACGTGGTGTAGTAATTCCCTCACAGATGGTGTTATGAGGGGCCTCACGTGGTGTAGTAACTCCCTCACAGATGATGTTATGAGGGGCATCACGTGGTATACGAATTCCCTCACAGATGGTGTTACGAGGGACTTGATGTGGTGTAGTTATTCCTTCACAGATGGCGTTATATGAGTGAGGTGTGGTTCCAGGCTTTCCTATCGTAGACGGATTAACACATCGCTGGTTGTTGTTGGGTCTCACGGGCCGTTATCACTGGGTACCTGGGACCTCACTGTGTGAAGGTTAACTTGGATACGACTGTTACTGTTGAGTTGTTCTCATTGACTTAAGCACTTCACCACTGTTCACCTCTGTTTAACACTGGTTCCATTCCTTTCCTAAATGAAATTGTAACTTCTGGCGAGAACTTGTTGATATTCTGGTGGGGAGGAGGGTTCACGGGAGGGAGTTGGTATGGACCAACATAACAGTTGACCTGGCTGCTCCGAGAGGAGCGCCAGGTACGTCTTGACCCTTCCGTGGTCAAGGATGTAGTACATGAGTGTGTGTGTAGGCACACACATACAAATAAATAATAATGGAAAAATACTTTCACAAAAAATCAGGAACAAATTTCTTAAAAATTTGACAGTCTACCCTCAAGTCCGTGCTTTATTAATAAAGTAATAAAGCACGGACTTGAGGGTAGACTCACATTTTTTATAAATTTGTTTCTGGTTATTTGTGAGAGGATTTTCCAATTATTATTTATTTTTGTGTGTTTTATGTGTGTGTGTGTGTGTGTGTGTGTGTGTGTCTACACACACACACGCATACATATTTACAATACAGGTAAAGGAAATTACTGTCTCTAGAATGAATGGCTCCCTGTCCCAGCCGCAAAAATGCCGGCAACTTTAAAACAACCTTCAGACATTCTTGGGTACATCCAGGGTGTCATCCTTGAATAATAGAGGACCACGAACTTGGGGGAGAAGGTGTACTCTTAATTTTTCTTGTCAATTCCCAGTGACTTCTTATATACTTTACAAATTTTTTCCAGTTTCATGTTAATAACTTGTTTTATGACAAAAATATCCTTACTAGACTCAAAAGATGTCTGAAAAAATAGATGGAAATATCTAATATACATGTTGATTATCTAAGTACAGGTACAATACAGAAAGCAGAATATTGTTTAATATGAATTCATTGTTTTATGTTTAGCTGAAAGATTAATAATGATCATATTTTCTTCAGCCAAGTTTTGGTAGGAACAGCTCATGGTCGGATGGGGTTATTTGATCTACGAGGGGGTAAGCCTGAAGATCCACTCTTTGTATACAAAGGGTTTGCTGGTGCTGTTCGAGATGCTGTGGTCCATCCCAAACATCCACTGGTATTTTCTGTTTCCCTAGACCGTTTCTTAAGAGTGCACCATTTAACATCACGGAAGCTTTTATATAAGGTAAGAGTCTATAATGCAGGAATATCCCTGATAGTCAGAGTAATTCATGCAGAGCCTTTCTGTATTAGAGTAATTTTGTGTATGCAGTTGAATTCTTACCCCTGGAAAAAATCTTAGATTTACGGAATTTTTCAGGGCATTGGTGAATGTTTCCGAGCCTAAACTACCTGTGTTTTTATTTCTAACAAGTTATGTTAAGTTTCAAAGTACACAAGTTTTTGTATACAATATATATACAGTCAACCCTCACTTTACGCGGTCCCACATTCCGCGTTTCCACGTTTAAGCAGTGCCCTGCCGGAACCTAACATGCTCACATTCCGCGGTGCGTGTACCCCATTACGCGGAGAGCAGCTGGCGAGCCGCGCCATTTTTGGATCCAAACCTCCCGCCATCCGCCATGTTGTGTAAGCGGCGCGAACATGGTGCACACAAGGTCGCCCAGTCATCAAAACATTACCAGTTCTTCACCCGCCACCCACCACAGCCGGCCCAAGTCAGTGATAGTGATAATTATAGTGAGGATGTGGACTTATATGGACTTTGGGGGGTTTGACAAAGAGGCCCTGCAAGCCTCTGTGGTGGATAGTGATACAATTGATACAAATGATACCGGTGAGGGCCAATAATCTGCCCTCTGCCTCGGAACCAACCGCCCATCCCCGTGTGCCCAGCCATCTTTTCTACTAATGTAAGTGTTAAAAAACCTAATATTATTGATATTTCTCTTAATTATTAATTGTGTGTGCATACCATCATAAAGTTAAGATAATATTTTTACTACAACATAGTTGTATGTCGTCAAAAAGTGGAGTTTGGGGGTCGGCCCGGACTCTATTTCAATTAATCCCATATGTTATGTTATTCACTTTACGCGTTCCTCACTTTCCGCGGCACCCTGTGGGTTACATTAACCGCGTAAAGTGAACTGTATATATATATATATATATATATATATATATATATATATATATATATATATATATATATATATATATATATATATATATATATATATATATATATATATATATATATATAGTCAACCCTCACTTTACGCGGTCCCACATTCCGCGTTTCCACGTTTACGCGGTGCCCTGCCAGAACCCAGGATGCTCACATTCCGCGGTGGGTGTACCCCTTTACACGGTGAAGTATAATTTTTTTAATTTAGCTCATAAAATTCATACAAATTATCCGGCCAGAATATAATTTACATTGCTGGAATTCTTACAATTTGATGATCATTTTGAATATAAACATCATATATTTTGCATTAGACATAAAATTTTTAGATAAAATGTTTAATCTGAGTAAGTATGTTATCTTTTGTGCAAAATATATGACGTTTATATTCAAAATATTCCTGGTCTTACAAGGAATCCAGCAATGTCAATTATATTATCCTAACTTTAATCTGAGGTATTATTTAATACAAAATGTTAAAATCTAAATTTTTCACCCAACATCTCTTGAAGGGAGGATTGGTGGGGGGTGGGGGGGAGGGTTGGGACTGACCGCGCGGTTGGAAGAGGGGGGGGAGGCAAGGTGGGGTACTTTGATTGACAGATAGTGTCGTGAAGAATATTTTTTTTTTTTTTATTAACTGAAGATATTTGTTTTAGCTCATAAAATTCATACAAATTACCCGGCCAGAATATAATTTACATTGCTGGAATTCTTACAATTTGGTGATCATTTTGAATATAAACATCATATATTTTGCATTAGACATAAAATTTTTAGATAAAATGTTTAATCTGAGTAAGTATGTTATCTTTTGTGAAAAATATATGACATTTATATTCAAAATATTCCTGGTCTTACAAGGAATCCAGCAATGTCAATTATATTATCCTAACTTTAGTTTGAGGTATTATTTATTACTATACCTGGTTTTCCCCCCAAAATTTCTCAGAGAGGGAAGAGCCGGCAGTGTAGTGTGAGAGGGAGTCATGTCCATTATTTGAATGGACATTAACTTGGGGACTGTATTTCTCTAAAGTATTAATTGTGTGCATGTACCATCATAAAATTAAGATGTTATTTTTACTACAACATAGTTATGTGTCGTCAAAAAGTGGAGTTTGGGGATCGGTCTGGACTCCATTTCAATTAATCCCATATGTTATGTTATTCACTTTACGCGTTTCTCGCTTTCCGCGGTACCCTGTGGGTTACATTAACCGCGTAAAGTGAGGGTTAACTGTACGTAAATTAAAATTATTGTTATTTTTTGCATTGTATGTTCCTAGGGATTAATTTTACCACAATGTCATTATTGTACTTATTACTTAAATGGTAATTGTTTTTCAGGAATACATGAAATCCAGATTGAATTGCCTATTGGTGCGGGAAAATTTGGCAGATATTATGCCGAGCATTAAAAAATTGGCAAAACGGAGAATTGTGACCACAGAGCCAGAACCAATGAAAGAACAAAAGTTGGATGTAAATCCCAAGATTTCTGATGAGGATTGGAAAACCTTGACTGAGTGAATGCTGTTATTATTCAAATAGAAGGTTTGGAGGTACAGGTACTTGTATATCATAAAAAAAAGTAATGTTTTATGATCCATACAGTACTGTAATAAACATTTAAGATTCTATGAAAATGCTGGAATTTTTACATGAATTATATGTAAATTAAGTAATTTATTAATAAAAGGAAGATTTCTTTGCTGTATTTACTCTTCTAATACAGTAATCCTTTGAAAGTCCAGGCAATTTTGGGGGAAACGGGGTCCAGGTTTGCCAATTCTCCAAGCTTTTACCATGGGGGGAGGCCACCGTGAACTAATTAGCCCCCACTCCCCAGTGACTTAAATTTGTATTTTAATGTACAATAAATGTCATGTGTGTTTCCTTTTACATTTTTCCTTTATACAGGTGCTCCTCTACTTAAGAACATTCAACTTACAAACTTTCAGAGATACAAACATCATCACTGAGGGGGTGTTACCTGCCAGAACAGGTGTTTATGTGGATGAGACTGGATTATTTTGAAGAAAATTCCAGATAGAACAAACATTACCTAAGAGGAGAAGAGTGAGTCAGGTTTTAAGGCTGTACTAAATATCCAAAATCTTTTCATTTTTTACAATATGTTTGGTATCTACAAGAGTAAAGTTGGACTTACAAACAAGTCTCGGGAACGTAACTCGTTCGTAAGTAGAAGAGCACCTGTATATATTAGGACAGTTCATTAAAAAGTACCATAATTTATTTTTTATGAAATATATTACCTTTTCTATTGTTAAAATATATTATGTATTATCTTTAATGGGGATACTGTACAGTGGTCTTATCAGATTTGATATAGGCCTACTGAGAACTAATAAGTATGAGATGACACTTCATTTGTAAACATGATCAGCCTCTTAAGATGTGTTTCTTCATAAATAATATAACAGAAAAAATATGATATATAATTTGCAATTTGACTTCAAATCAAAAGGATAAGCTGAATCAGCAGGTATTCTCTTTCCTGACTACTCATCCCTCCCTATGTTAAGGAGGAGGGGGGCTCTGTGTGTTGCTGCGATCATATTTGTTTTTATGTATTCATTATGATATTTTCTTATGGTGTATATTTCATCAATGATTATATAAAATATTAAATAATATAAAAAATACAATATGTACTTTAATTTGACTTCAAAATATAGTAGACGCTCGATAAATCAGACTAATTGGGACAGACCCCTGTCCAATAAATGCTAAAGAAGTCGCTGGGTTGAAAATCAGACTTTAGGTCTGGTTGGCAACAACTGTAGTGTCATATGTAATTAACCACAGAATTTGTCTTATGAATAAAGAGGAAACCGTATACTGAGCAGTATTACTATCAAGTTATAAATTAGAAAAAATAATTGTAGGGATACATTGTATGTGGGAGATGAGTGATCTCGGAGCAGCAGGTGGAGGGGGAAGGTAGCACTGGTGGGTGCCTTCCTCCCCCAAGAACCCTTTAATCATATTTATGCAATTCCACCATAATTCTCATATCATTTAGGTTCATTCGATGCCAGGTTGATAAAATATAATCATAAAAGAATCAACTTTCCCGAAAAAGAGAATCCCACACTCAACACCATGAATCAACTTGTTTACAAAAGGCAAACAGCTGATTGGCTTAACTCATGCTTATGACAACATCTGTCATCAGCACTTAGTAAATTAGTATGTATATTCATCATCGCATAATATGCAGTGCCAATTTTTGAGGTGCAGGAGCTGTCAAAATAATTTCCATTTCCTAAACCGCATATATATACCGGTATACACACAGTGAACCCTCGCTTTATGCGGTTTAACTTTACACGTTTCTACATTTACGCGGTACCCTGCCAGAACCGGAATTCCCACTTTACGCGGTGCATCTACTCACATACGCGGGTGAAATATAATTTTTTTATTTAGTTCATAAAATTCATACAAATTATCCGGCCAGAATATAATTTACATTGCTGGAATTCTTACAATTTTATGATCATTTTGAATATAAGCATCATGGATTTTGCATTAGACATACAAATTTTAGATCTAATGCAAGTATTTTGTTTACTCAGAGCAAATATGTTATCTTTTGTGCAAAATATATGAAGTGTATATTCAAAATATTCCTGGTCTTGCAAGGAATCCACCAATGTCAATTGTATTATCGTAACTTTAGTCTGAGGTATTATTTATTACTCAAAATGTAAATATACTGTTATAACCCAATCATTTCTCTGGTAGGGAGGGAAAGTGGGGGTGAGGGGTAGGGAGGGACCCAGGGAGCAGGTGGGAAGAGTGGGGAAGTGGGGTATTTTGATTGACAGATAGTATTTCAGTAAGTATATTTTGTTTATTTATTGCAGATATTTGTTTTAGCTCATAAAATTCATACAAATTACCGGGCCAGAATATAATTTACATTGCTGGGATTCTTACAATTTGATGTTCATTTTGAATATAAACATCATAGATTTTGCATTAGACATACAAATTTTAGATCTACTTTAAGTATTTTGTTTACTCTGAGTAAATATGTTATCTTTTGTGCAAAATATATGACATTTATATTCAAAATATTCCTGGTCTTGCAAGGAATCCAGCAATGTCAATTATATTATCCTAACTTTAGTCTGAGGTATTATTTATTACTAAAAGCGTAAATATTCAGGTTTCTCCCACACATTTCTCTGGTAGGGAGGGACCGACCGACCATCTGGCGAGGTTGGAAGAGGGGGGAGGCAAAGTGGGGTACTTTGATTGACAGATAGTGTCGTGAAGAATATTTTTTTTTTTTATTAACTGAAGATATTTGTTTTAGCTCATAAAATTCATACAAATTACCCGGCCAGAATATAAATTACATTGCTGGAATTCTTACAATTTGATGATCATTTTTAATATAAACATCATAGATTTTGCATTAGACATACAAATTTTAGATCTACTTTAAGTATTTTGTTTACTCTGAGTAAATATGTTATCTTGTGCAAAATGTATGACATTTATATTCAAAATATTCCTGGTCTTACAAGGAATCCAGCAATGTCAATTATATTATCCTAACTTTAGTTTGAGGTATTATTTATTACTATACCTTAAAATCTAGTGGCTTTCCCCCCAAACATTTCTCAGAGAGGGAAGAGCCAGGAGTGTGAGAAGAGGGGGAGGGAGTTGAGTCCATTATTTGAATGGACATTAACTTGGCAAATGTATTTCTCTATTTCTCTTAAGTATTAATTGTGTGCATGTACCATCATAAAATTAAGATGTTATTTTTACTAGAACATAGTTATTGTGTTGGAAAAAGTGGAGTTTGAGGGTCAGCCGGTCTCTATTTCATTTAATCCCATATGTTATGTTGTTCACTTTACGCGTTTCTCGCTTTACGCGGGCCTCCGTGGGTTCAATTGACCGCGTAAAGTGAGGGTTCACTGTATATATATATATATATATATATATATAGATATATATATAGATATATATATATATATAGATATATATATATATATATATATATATATATATATATATATATATATATATATATATATATATATATATATATATATATATATATATATATATATATATATAACATATATATATATATATATATATAATATATATATATATATATATATATATATATGTATATATATATATAATATATATATATATATATATATATATATATATATATATATATATATATATATATATATATATATATATATATATATATATATATATATATATATATATATATATATATATATATATATATATATATACAGTAGTACCCCGATTTACGAGGTAAATTGAACCCACAGGGTACCGCGGAAAGTGAAATCCGCGTAAATGGAACAACAGAACATATGGGATTAATTCCAATAGAGACTGGCCCGACCCCCAAACTCCACTTTTTGACGACATTCAACTATGTTGTCGTAAAAATTTTATCTTAACTTTATGATGGTATGCACAAACAAGTAATATAGAAGAGGTTAGGTTAGGAAAAATAAAGGTTAAGTTAGGAAAAATAAAGATTAGGTTAGGAAAACAAAAAGTTAGGTGTAACACTTACGTTAGTAGAAGAGATGGGTCGGCATACGGGGATGGAGGCTGGTTCCGAGGCAGAGGGCAGATTACTGGCCCTCAGGTGAATCACCATTACTAGGTGCATCACCATCACTATCAGTTACAGTTGTCAGGGCTTCCCTGACAAATCCCTCAAAGTCACCTTCACTGGCTCTGGCTGGCTGTGGTGGGTTGCGGGCCGCGGCTAGGTCAATCGTCGTCTTTCCTCCCTCCCTCCCTCCCCGGGTGGACACATCATGTTACTTTAAACCAATTACAGCTAGCAGCAGAGGGGGGTAGGGATGCATGGCCAATCACAATCCGATACGTCATATGACGTCAGTAATAATGCAACAGAGACATGCACTGCGCAACCTTACCGCGCAGCTTGCCCAGGTGGAGGCGGGAGCAGGAGGGTGGGGCGAATCTATATATATATATATATATATATATATATATATATATATATATATATATATATATATATATATATATATATATATATATATATATATATATAATATATATATATCCTCGTTAACGAACCCAACTGCTCCAGAAGGTCGTTCGTTAACCTAAAACCATTGTTTCAATGGGTTTTTGGGTACTGTCTGAACAATCGAAAAATTTCCTAAATTCAACAAAAAAGTAGAAAAGTTCACTTACTTTGAGGTGTGTATGTAGGCTCCTGGATGATGATGATGATGATGGGAATTAGAATGGGGGTGAAGGAGAAGGAAGAAGAGAAGGCATTGGGGTGGAAGAGAAGTCACCCCATGGCACCATTTCACCCATAAAATTTTAGTTCTCTTGGTGTATTTCAAGATTATTTTCTTTAAATCTACACTGCACTGCATTATATATTGTCAATATGTAAAATATATTTCAAAATGACCAATAATTTGCTTGGAAACACAGAAAAAAAGCGTCTCAAGCAAGATGTTAACTCCAGTGAAAACAGAGAGAGACTAACTCCTGTTTGCTGTGTAAAGAGGCTGGATGCCGCGCATTAAACTAGTCACTTTACCTTCAATTATGTTCAATAATTGTTAAAATGACTAAAAAATTTAATATTAAACTTTTAAAATTATTGAATTGTATAAATTTCTTGATATTTACTAAAATAATAAGGAATTCAAGTCCTAGAACCGATTAATGTATTGGCGGAATGATACTAAAGCTGGTTGCCCGGCCAGTGCAAGCGAAAACATGTTGAGGTCGGTTCGTAAGAAATTCGTTAACCGAATTTTTGTTCGTTAACCGAATTGAAGATCCTTATATATATATATATATATATATATATATATATATATATATATATATATATATATATATATATATATATATATATATATATATATATATATATATATATATATTGATAAAATCACATGGGAAAATGGAAACAACGGAGTACCTTAGCTTT